TTCTGGTCGATAGGAGAAGCGAGCACAGCGGGCAGGGGTGCAGCAGCCAGGGGAAGGTGAGACTTGGAGCCATCACAGCCAGGACATCACTGGGGTCCCCTGCTCCCTCCTACGGGGACATGCAGGGCACAGGCAGTGGCAGGTATTAACGAGCAGGGAGAGAGAAACGTGCCCCACAGCACGTCACCTCCACAGGGACGGTCCCTGCTCTGCTCCCGCACAACTGCTGGCTGCAGTCAGGGGCCTGGGACAAAGCCACGGGGCAGAAGGGTCAGGAGACATCCCGGGGCGTGGAGGAGCTTCTCCCTCCGTGAAATTCAACCCCACGCAGGATTGGTGTGAAACGAACTCTCCCTCGGCTGCAAGGTGACAGCCACCCCCGTGCAGGGCAGCATCAGGCTCACCGCAAGCACTGGGAAGAGCCCAGCGATGGGAGAAGGGCCCTGCTGTCTGCAAGCACCAGAAAAACTTCCTAATCTCCAAAAATGGAGATTATTTTTGCATCCCATTGTGTCCATGGGGAGATGGATACGAGCTTGGGAGGGCTGGGGAAGGGGACCTGCAGAGCCCGCTGGCTGCAAATGCCAGCAGCATAAAGCTCTCTGCACACCCAGAGATTAAAAAAAGAAGATTGGGTGAATTTATTAAGGGGCTCTTAAGCAAAGGGAAATCAAACAACCTTATTAAAAGGGACTGAACCAGCCATTCAGCTCTCCTGCTCCTGCACACACTCGAGCTGGGGAGGAGGGGAGTTCCTGGGTGACGGGTGACTCGATGACACCTTCAAGTGTCATAAATCCTCTCCTGTGGATTTAAAAATCTCCCTTTGGCTGGCCACACCTCACTGGAGTGTGTTGCTGGTTAGTAAACTGAGGCACAGAAAGATCCCCAGCTTTATCAGAGCTACAAAAAGCCTAGACAAGGCTGGATCTGGGCTCTGCCATATATATTCACGCTTTCAGGTTACGGCCCAGGTTATCGTGCCCCAGGCGGTGCCAACAATCAGCACGGAAGATGCCACAGGCAGATGTAAGCAGCTCTGACTATGGCTGTATTTGGCTGAGGTTTATTCAGACTCAGGCTCAAAAAAAAACCAAACAAACCAAACCCAGACCCAACCCAAACCTCAAACCCAGAGAGCCCGGTACTTTTCCAACACTAGCCTGAGCCCCAGGAACAGTCTGGATTAAAGCAGAACATGAGTAATGTGTCTCCTGGAAGAGCAGTGCCCCAGAGAGCCAGCAAAGGGCTGATACCACGGTCGAAGATAGACGCATTTCCATAAACGCTGGAGCAGCAGCCTATAAATAACCGCCTGAATTTACCGCTGCTTTCATGTGACCCTGATCCCCGCATTTTCGGCTGCCATCTGTCACCATGGAAATGGCATCACAGGGCCACCAACCATTCATTCATAGGACTGGTCCAAGGGAGGGGGCCCAGCGTGGGGGAGGCGTCACTGAGGCTTTTTAAAGGATGAAAGTTGCAATTCCGGAAGGAAAAATACAGCGAGAATGTTTAGAGGGAGCGGGCGAGGGTAGAGCGGGTGAGGATGGAGCCGTCCTTCCCAGGAGGGATGCGGCACAGCCTGCGTTTCCAAACACGCTGCAGCCGGGCAGGAGCACAGGGACAGAGCTGTGGGAAGGGATGGACAGAGAGTGGGGGGGGGGCAGACATCTGCAGGGAGCACAGGGATGAATGAATCCCTCCCCTTGGTCAACCCCCGTCAGTTTGGAGCATCACAAGGGTGCTGCCAGCATGGGGAGATGCATTTACCACCCCATCTCTCCCCCAAACTCCCCCTGGACGCAGGGACCACCCTGTGCCTTTGGGAGGAGATGCTGGCTTAATAAATTACCTTATTGCTTCCTCCACTGGTGACAAGGCTCCTAAACCTGGCTTTCCTCCCCCCCCAAGCAGGGTGCAAACAGGGAGGGATTAACAGGACAGTGAGCATGGAGCTCAGCTCAGATGATTTTCCACCTAAGCTGTCAAGCCGACCTACATTCAAGTGATAATAATCGAAGGGGATGATACCCTCCGGTTTCTAAATATGTATTTGCCTGCAAAGCCAGGGCCTGTCATGGCTCATTCAAGGCCGGGAGCTGCTAACGTGGAGGGAAAGGAGCAGAGCCTGGAAAAGGAGAGCCTGGCCTGACTCAGGGCAGAGGAATTTCTGGCTCTTGCGGAGCATTTTCCACCCAAGAATCCCAACTTGCTGTGCCAGGCTGCTCCCCCCATCCTGTGGGAAGGGATGTGCCCAAGGCTGCAGGTGAGGCAGTGGCACAGGCAGGAGCCCGAGCAGGACGTTCCCCTTGGTTTGCCTTGCTCATCCCAGAGATGCCCCATCCTCATCATCACGAGGGGGAACAGGGACACCTTGAGCCAGCGACCATCGAGCCTGCACAGACGTGGTGGCACTTCCAAGGGCTCCCAAACTTCTCAGGTCACCCAAGAGCAGGATGACAACCCCACAGGGTACCGTGTCCCCAAAATATGGACAAATGCCAGACAGCCCCAGCTGGAAACATCAAAAATCACTGAGAAAATGACCTTTAAAAGAAACATTTACCATTTATTAGTGATCTTAATGAAACCAGCTCCAGTGCCCCTCCGTGCACTTACCTGTTGGCTCTTCTTCTCCAGCACTGCAAGGAGCAGGGATCATCTATTTTTGGCCTGGAGATCACATCTGAAAAACAAAAGGGTGGTGGGGAGGAGGCAATAAGCCTTGTCTGAGTGCGAGAAGAAAACCACACTGCTTGGTTCAGCCCTGGGGGACAAGCATGCAGGGAATAAAGGGGACTCTGCACAATAGAAGGAAAAATAATAAACCCCAGCACAGGCGTAGGAATGAGAACCATGTCCCATAGCCTCTGGGCAAGGGTTCCTAGCAGCAGGACAACACGCTTTAAAGAGCTGCTGCTCCTGAGTTCTGGTCTTAATTTTCTTCACATGCCGAGCTGCCATCGGATCAGACGCGGCCGAGTCTGCGTTATGCAACGGGGCGAATTCATAAGCGCCGGGGCTGGGTGGCACCACGCTGGCTCGGGGTGCCGCAGCGGAGCAGGCTCTGTTTCCAGGTGGTTTTGATGGCCTGGATGGGTCTTTTTGGATGAGCTTTGAGTGATCTCAGGGAGGGTTTTTTGAAGGCTTTGCCTGTGTCTTGGCTGACACTGCTTTCCCTCCCAGACGCCTGGTCCTGCCCCTCACTGCCTGCACTCCCCGGCTGAGCCACCTCCACCTCCCTGGAAGGTTTGCAGTGGGATAGACCCCAAATGCCCTCTCTTGTGGCCAGATCCAGGCCTCCCTGCCCAGCACAGAGGCCTGAGTTGGGGATCTGGGATGGTCTCAGTGCCTGGATCCGCCCTGGGGAGCCGCAGAGTCCTTGAACATTTTGTTCTTGGAAATGAAAACAAAAACTCTTCAAAGGGCTGCTCACATCTCCTTGCATGGTCACTGCTGGCTGTGCCGTTTATTCCTGGAGGAATAGAGATCTCAGGCTCTTGTTGGGCCAGCTTCTTTGAGAAGGGACATGTGTCCCCTTTCTGAGTCCCAGAGGAAGGACACAGGGAGGGAGTTTGCAGTGGCCTTGTCTGATGCTGCCCAAACCATGTGGCTTGTTCCTCCGATGCTCATCCTGACCATGCAACCTGCCTGGCAGACTCCACAGGGTTCAAAGTGCCAAAACCAGAGGATTTTTCACCCCAACCCGCATCCCCTGGAGAGAAAAAGCATGTCCTGGGCTCCTGAGCCAACCCCGCCGAGCCGCTCAGCATGCCCTGCCACAGTCCCTGCTCTCCCCGGGGAGGTAACCCCCAGCAACTTGGCACCCGACATCATTCTCTACCCAACTAACGAGAAGCAGCCAAATGCCATCCAGCCGGTCCCCACCAGTAGCTGCTTTCAACAGAAATCACCCAGAAACCACCCTGGGGCTGTACAGCCACAACCCCGGCTGCCGGGGAAGCAGATGGGAGCCAGCTGGCCACCTGCGGTCCCTGTGGCCGCCTGCCACCGGCCAGCCCTCCCCGCTGTCCCCAGCCCGGCCATGCAGTTCCCGGCTGGTGGCAAGGGCCGGGGATCCGCTGGAATAAGGGAGCAGAGAAAGCAAAGCTGCCGGCTGCAGCTGGGGGCTGCTTCCCACCCCATCCCCAAGACTCCCGTGGGACTTGGTGCGTGGAGCCCATCGGCTCCTGTTTCACCAGCTGCCATGTGATTTTGCCCTGGGTATATTTTAAGCGCTGCCTTTGACGTCACACGTTCTTCTCCAGGATGCTGCTTTCTATACGTTTCCAAGCAAAACAGTCCCCAAATTTCCCCTTCAGCTCCCCCTCCACCAGCC